TTCAGTCTGGGAAGATTCTTGCTAGAGGTTGTAGCTAATAAACATTGCTGGACTGAATTTGGATGGTCTCTTGGAGTTCCTTGGGCTAGGCCTGACATCAATCAATGTTTTTCTCCCTGAGTCTGGCCTTCATGATTCCATTCCATCACATCTGCCATTATAATTTCCAAACAAGATCCTTTATATATCAAACACCAGCTGGCCATGCCTTTCAAGATACAGCCTAATAGCTACAGAATATTTATCAAGATAACGGTATTTGACCCCGTAATCTTTCATGGTACTACATATCTTTTATTTTTCACCAGCATTCAGTAACGTATTACAAATTTGAAGCTTTGGACCATTAGCACTGCATAATCCCCTTCAAAATACTACTTTAATCATCCACAGTATTGGTATTTAATTTATTATTTCATGGGAACATAAATATTTAAAGAGATTCAGTAATTATTGACTTAACACAGATTGCTGCAAGCAGTCTACATAAAATGTTTTACTATCTTATTCATTGTCCATTACATATCTGTTAGTACAAATAGAATATTTTCATCACTAGCAAATGGGAGATAGAATTCACATATCAAAATGTTTTTCATATATATTGCCTGAAATTGTAAAATTAAAATTTTCAAGAAGCTTTTTATAATTTAAAAATAAGTTTAAATTTTATCTGGAGATAGAAGAAATCATCTTAACCATGACAGCACTGTAACACTATTTTACAATTAATATTTCACTTTCTCCCAGTTCCCAGTAATCAGATGCTTTAAACAATTCCAAGCCCATATTTTAACATGAAAGCACTCAACATTCCAGGAATTATTGCAAAACTAGTTTTGCATGTCCAGTCACTTTCCTGTGAAATACAAATTTACCATCATCCATTAGTAATGCAGGATAAAGAGACAGTGAAAACGTTTTTTAAACATCTAATACATATAAATATATGTAAATAAATAAATACAACATTCAAAATACAATAGCTGAAATTGCATATATTGTGAACTGGAAGCAAATGGTTAAAAATGCAAGTATGAAAGTAGTCACAAGCCAATTTTAGAGAGAGCCACTACTATTTCTGGTGTAAATATATTCAATTGGCTCCTCTGCAACCTGCATCCTTTGGTCCTGTACAGCTTGCTAAATAGCTGGTTTGTTTTAGATTCCTTGTGTTAAATCTACAGCAAGTTCCATCTGCTGCTCACCAGAAAAATTAAGATAGGCTTGTTTTAGACCAGTGTTATTCAGCCTCAGCAACTTTAAGATATGTGGACTTCAACTCCCATGCTGGCTGGAAAATTCTGGGAGTTGGAGTCCGCACATCTTAAAGCTGCTGAGGTTGAAAAACTAAACTGTTTTAGACTGTGCCTGTGACTAGTGACATCTGGAAATTGCTGTCAAATGGCAGGAAGATCATAAAACAATTTCCCTAAACAAGCCACCAACCATTGCCAATCTGTGCCACTAGGAAAAACCATTTGACATGGCTATATCCTTTAGTAAATTATATTCTAATTACTTTCTTCTATAATTATTATATAATTACATAACAGAATTATATTGTTATATTCTTAATTAGTAAATTCAAGCCCAAGCTGGAAGAATGCTTGTATTATACAGACAAAATAGGGAAAGCATTATGGGTTCTGGAATTCTCTCCAGCACCTTCCCAGGCATGATCCTAGCCATAGTTTATATTTCTTCTGTGTCACGAAGTACTGTGTTGTGACTATACTTGTGTTTCTTCTTTCTCCTCACATTGCATCTTTGTGTGTAGATGTGCACCAGGAAGCACAAGGCAGGTTGTGTATGCTCCACTCTGGATCACGTGACCAGGAGAGAGGGGATTTTAGAATAGAGCAGCCACCAACATTCAAAGCTGCTGCCCAACTGCCTCTCCCCTGGGGATACAAAGGGGAAATGTTGTGGATTTTTTTCCCTCCGTAGCTTTAGGGCTGATTGATCTTTCTGCCACTTACTTCTCTCAACCTACCAAATATGGCTACATTCTGTTCTGCTGTCTTTTCTCTGGTTGAACAGACAAAGTCCCAAACTCCTTTACATAATTTCTTTCCAGCATTCTGTTGGATTGAAAAGAATAAAAGCAGGATACACAGCACAACTAAGGTTAAGAATATTTTCCTCTTACTCACATAGGTTTCATTCTCTACATCTAGCTGAAGTTCATCTTCTCCTAAGAGATCACTGATTCCACTGAAGAGAAGAGACTCTAGGATTTAAATAAGCATATTGGGTGTATAAGTCACACAAGATAATTCAGACCTTCCTCATTTCCTAAAAATAAGGAATGGACCATTCCTCTCTGCAAATTCTGCAACTGGTAACACAAAACAAGGCAAGAGGACAGATATCATTAAATAATAATTTATTTTCATTCCAAGGTTCAAGGCTTAAAATATATACACATTTCCTTTTCAGGAAATTGGCTCTTTGCCAAATTAGGTAGGTTGCTTATTTATCTGTGTGCTATTTATCTCCCTCCTCAATACTCACAGACTCTAGGTGGTCTACAGATATTACAATAATAAACCTAAATTTTAAAGCTTTAATAAGGCAGTTATAACAGTTAATGTCAAATAGTAACAAAATATACATATAAATACACACATTCACGCATACGTATCTATGCACCACCTGTAGCTCTCCAGTCAGCCCCCAAAGGCTTCTGGAAAAAAGAAATGGACCAGCTTGCAGGAGGCCATAAGAGTGGAGGCCATCCTCACCTCAGGAAGCAAGCTGTTCCATCGGAGGGAGTTGCCACCAAAAACACCCAGTGCTAGGCCTCCTCCTGAGAGATGAGAACTCTTAAGAGATATTCTCTGCCCATCCAGGCTAGATAGCTAGAGACTATCTGGGAAAGATGAACTCTCAGAAGGTCCTGAGCTACAGAGGACTTTAAAGGTAGCAACTAGCGTGTTAAATTGCACTCAGAAACACACTGGCAAGCAGTGCAGCTCCTGGAACATTAGTGTAACATGGCAGTACCAACATTGGTCAGTGAACACACTGGCTACTGCATTCTGGACCAGCTGAAGTTTCCAGGTGGTCTTCAAGGACAGCATTATGGAAAGCAAATTACAGAAATCTAGTCAGGATTCAAAGATGACTAGAGCACAAGTGAACATCCTCAGAGCATCCTGTTTCAGGTAAGGTCACAACTGGCATACCAGCCACAGCTGGCCAAGAGCCTTCTTGGTCACATAGTTTCTACCTGCTGTGAATGAAACTATGAATTCAAGGGGACTCCCAAGTCATAAATCTGCTCAGTTAGAGGAGCACAACCCTTTCAAGAATCAAAGATGGTACAATCCTGGAATCAGAAAGCTCTTCAGTTAAGAGCCACTATGTCTTCTTTGGGTTGAGTCTGAGCCTGCCTTTCCTCATTCAGTCTGTGAAAGCCTCCAGGCTCTGGGACAGGACTTCTGCTGCATGTCTCACTGGGCTCAGCTTGGAGATTAGGAGTATCATCAGCATCCCAGTGGATGACCTCTCCCAGTAGTTTCACGTACAATGGTGCTTAAAAAATTCTAAACCTTTTGAATTTTCAATATTTCTGCATAAATATGACCTAAAACAGATCTGTTTTCCATGCAAGTCCTAAAACTAGATAAAAAGAACCCAATTAAACAAATCAGTAAAAAACATTATGCTTGTTCATTTATTAAGGAAAATGATCCAAAGCTACATATTTGCGTGTGGCAAAAGTATATGAACCTTTGCTTTCTGGAACCGGTGTGCCCCCTTTGGGCAGCAATAACTGCAACTAAACATTTCCAAAAATTGTTGATCAGTTCCACACATCAGCCTGGAGGAATTTTAACCCATTCCTCCTTACAGAACAGCTTCAGCTCTGGGATGTTGTGGGCTTCCTCTCATGAACTGCCCACTTCAGGTCCTTCCGCAACATTTTTATAGGATTAGGGTCTGGACTTTGACTTGGCCATTCCAAAACATTAACTTTCTTCTGCTTTAATCGTTCTTTGGTCATACAAGTTGTGTGTTTTGGGTCACTGTCTTGCTGACACATTTCCACATACCTGTGTTGTAAAGATCAGACTTTGATAGTGAATACCCAGAATACCATTCTTTAAATAAGGCAAGACCTCCCACACTCACACCTGATTATTTATATTTATTTATATTTCAAATTTAGATACCACCCATCTCACAAAAAAGTGACTCTGGCCGGCTCACAATAAAACAACAATAAATATTAATTAAAATACAATAAAAATGATATAAAAATACAGTAGAAGTAGAATAAAACCAAACACATATGCAAATAATAATATCTTCCAAGATATTGATGATCAGTAAGATGTTAACATATGGGAACATCTTCAAGGTGTTAGCCACCCCCAGGGTTGGTTGTCCCTTTTTTTGCCCCATGCTAGTTGGCAGAGCCAAGTCTTGACTGCTTTCCGGAAGGACAAGAGAGTTGGGGCCTGCCTCACCTCTGGGGGGAGAGTATTATCATCCCATTGATTGGAACACCTGGTCCTAAGTTCCCCTTCAAATGAACTGATTATTTATTTATTTATTTATCACATTTATATATCCTAGAGGTTCACATACTTCTGCCATACACAAATATTTGGATCATTTTCCTCAATGAATAAATGAACAAGTATATTGTTTTTTACTCATTTGTTTAACTGGGTTCTCTTTATCTAGTTTTAGGACTTGTGTGGAGAATAGATCACATTTTAGGTCATATTTATGCAGAAATATTGAAATCTCTTGGATTTTATTGTATTTAATAATTGTATTTTATATTTGTATTATTTATGTTTTTACTGATTTTAAATTGT